CCGATAACAACTCGAGAACCACTCGTCGAATTTGGATCGTCCTCGGGGATGGCGAGCCATTCGTTAAAACGGATTAATAAATTTCCAGAAATTCCACGTAATTTCTCTCGACTCGATTCGAAGTACACCGCCACCAATTCTCGGTTCCCTAATTTCTTAGCAATGGAGTTCGCGGATTTCGATGCGAATTCACGTTAACGAAACGTTAAAATTTCTTTTTTTTTTTTTCTTTTGCTGATCGGTCGCAACGACATTGCAGTTACGATCGAAAGCGTGTATAAGAGAATTGCGATGCACGAGAGAATAAAATGTTAAGGGGGAGAGGGAGGGAAAATAGATATTTAAAAGATCTTCGTTCTTTCGTTGTAGGTATTCAATGGTTGTTTCAATAATTTTTTCGAGATGGTTCCCACCGAAATTCGCCATAATTGCCGGCTCGACTTCGCGATGCCGCCAAGAGAAAATTTTTGGATCTTGATAGCGTGGAAGTAAGGAGCCGCGATAGAATCTTTATGTCGCGCCCTAAAAACGCGCCATATTGCTTGTTTTATACGACAAAAAGAACATTTTATCGCGAGATCCTTTTGCCCGATACGAGAGACATCTTCTGCGAGCGTGTCTGGAATGGAAAAAAAGAAAGAAAAGAAAAAAAAAGAAAGAGGAGAAAAAAGTGGCCCGCATCTGTTGAATCTATTTAAAAATTTATTGCCGATATATCTTCTTTATCTTTATACTTTATTTCGATTCAGAGAATTTTTATCCGATCGGGAAAATTTCAATTCTTTTTCGTTCAACACAACAAGGAAATCATCGATTTCATCGAGGAATTCAACGTGTTAAACGTATATTTATCTGCACAGATGGATAGATACGAACTTTCCAAGTTTTTACGATAAAATAAAAATTAAAAAAGAAAAAGGAAAAAAACGTGTTAACGCTTAAGAACACGCAGAGTTAATTATCGAATCATTTAATTTTAATTTTAATTTCAATTAAAACAAATTTCTCGAACGAAAGATTATGCAATTTATACGTATGCAACACAGCTTTCCCTCCCTGGATCCCTCAATTATAACGTTTGAATTAACATTTTATGTTAATGCTGTAAAACGATGTCTGTTTGTCAGCCTTTAATTGCTCGACACTCATAATGTTATCCCAGGTGTTCGATGACGAGACGATTTTGCAACACCTTTCCAGACGCTACGCGTCTCCTATCCACATTCCATCGATCGTAAACCAGTAATTCATCATACGAAAAATTCATTTGCGTCAAAACGGGCGTTTTCGCGCGAAATTAATTTTCTCCGCGTCACGGGAAGAAATTACACGGGACTTTTGCTTTCTCGTTTCTCGGATGATACGTCTCGTTGTCCGATACGCTTGAAATTCTTCTTAATACGTATTTTTCTCAACAATATTTCCAATTCGACATGAAGAAGATAATCGAAATATCTTCTAAGGAACACGAGCTATGTAAATACTTCTTGCAAGATTCTGCGTGATTGTTGTGACACGTAGACACCATTCTATTTCTTATTATACATCTCAACATCGATATTATTTATTTGTTACTTTTATTTTATTTCTTTAGAAATTTCTTCCTCAATTCTTCATTTTTCGATTTATCTTCTTCACTTTTTTTCCCTTTTTTTAATTCATTTCATTATAATATTTGTCCATTGCGCGGACAATTTAACTCGAACAGTTTCGAATATTGAAATTATTATTCGATACTGGTAGCAGAAGGGTTAATTTGCGATGAAAGTATATGCAAATCGACGAGAGGGAGAATTTTTTTTCTCCTTTCTTCTGCACGGCTTATCGCTCGCTATATTAATTTCCACGAAAGATCTCGTTCCATCCGGAAGACTGAGACGCATCACTTTGCATGCGAATCATCGAAAGGAATTTCTTCAACGCGGTGCAAACAGGGAGCTAGCTTTTTTTCACGCTCGAATACGATTTAATTATTTTTATCTAGCAACGATTCCTATTTTGCACGAAACATTGCAAAAGCTTGTAAAATTCCAAGATTTTAGATAGTTCCATTCAGCGTTGACGAAAGAAAAATCGTCGTTTTGCGGTCGATTAATTTGTCAAAGGGCGCCCGTAATTTCCTTGAATTTTATTTTATGTTAAAATTTATAACGCGTTACTTTCTTCCTTTCTTTTTATGCCAATCGAGTGCAAAAATACTCGTTGAACGTCTGCAACATTATATGTTGGATGATGATCAAAAGTTATTTCAAGATGGATGTAATTAATTACTCGATCTACAGATTTTTTTAAAAAAATGATTTTTTCAAAAAACGAATTTTTCCCTTAAGAAATTTTCCAGCATGTCTTTACGTTCTATCACGAATAATAAAAAAGAGAAAAAGAAGAAGAAGAAGAAGAAAAAACGAGAATGCTGCGTGATATCCATAAGAATCAGTACTTTTAACACGTTTCTTGCTAATATAAAATCGTGAAAGACGTCATGTGTCATCAAGTTGTATTTTCACTCGTATTACAATGAACAGCCAGCACGTGAATAATTATAATAGATATTATCAAACAAGTGAACAATGCAAATTATGAACGAAATTTGTAAATGAATGAATTCAATTTACTTGATAATTTTATTTAATCATTATCATTACAGCATAACTGATATAATATGCAAATGCTATTTTCTTTTTTTTTGTATCTATTACGTACATACACGCAGGAATTCAATCTCGCTTTGGATTAAATTTTCACTTTACAAACTCTTTATAAAAAAAAAAAATGAAACGTTAACATAATAAAAATCTAGTACAAAATGTGAAAGAGAAATTTCCCTCTCGAAAGCGCAAATAAATCGTAAAACGATATTTCATAATATTATCTCATCGGCGAAAAATCGGAAACGGCAAATAAATAACGTTTATTTTTTCCTATATAGGGATATTTCGCAGTGTTCACACGAATCAATTACAGATTCTATTGATTTATATCAATTTTAAAAAAAAAAAAAGAATTGCTTTTTCGATACGACGATAAAACGAAAAAAAAATCCATTGGAAAGAAAAAACGTATCAAAATTTGCATTATTATCCTCTTATTGTTAGATAATTACGCAAATTTCAAAATGGAAAATAAGTTTAATATCTTTCACCTCCTTATAATAAAATACAATCCACAGACGAAACGTAACGTTCCTCGAAAAATTCAATAAATACACTCGTGAAACGCAAAATTATGTATCCCAATTGGAATATCTATCTCGATACATTGTACGATAATAATAATTTACATCTTTGAATGATCGTCTCTCGGCAACTTGAAATATAATTGGCCACGAAGCGCATGCGAGACATGAAAGATGTAATCGGAGGCAAACGAATTTCAGCGAAATTCCTCCCCGCACGATAAATTCGCCATTGTGGCGAACAAGATTTCGCCATTTCGAGTTCTGTAAACGTTAATGACGCATTGACTCCCGAAGATCGATATTAAGACGATTCATGTGCTGCTCTAATCGCGTTGAATAACTATATCGTGATGAGAAGTTCGATCGATGGTTCCTACGTGGCTCGAACCTCGAGCTTATCTCCTCTTGAAATCGAATTAATGTTTCAACGATCGTTAATACGATTGAACACCGTTCTAAACGATCCGAAACTTTATTTATATTTTGTTGATTAAGTAAAGAATTGGCGGTTCAAGGTTTTGAGGAAAGGAAGAAAAAAAGGGGGTGTATCGTCTCGTATCCTCTCGAGAGGGGGTTTAATATCTCGAAACAACTCAATCGACTTTCATCGAAAAGATTATTTACTCGTTAGGGGAGAGTAGTTGCTTTATTATCGACCGATCGCATCTACGGCATCGCTCGCAATTTCGCTTCGTCGTGGTAACCGATCGCTACCTTATTATCTTGGCCGCAGCAGCTTTCATCGTGAGCTTTTTATCCTACCCTCCTCCGCTATCCGCCTTGGCGAACGCTAAAACACCCCGCTTCGAAAACTAATTTTTCTTTTTTCT